ATATAAACTAAATTGATGTCTGTGTGAAAAATACAGTCATTTTCATATACTTCCAAGAGTGAAAAACCATGAAAATTGTTTTTGAAAATCGTAATACAGATGAAACCACTATTAAACTCAACAAAAGTGGTTTGCTACCCATAAAAATCATAAATGAGCACATTTAAAGATTAAAGGCATGTCTGCATGTACACATCACAAAGGGTAAAGTGGTTTATTTTGGTCATCTTTGCCAACAGCTATTACATGCTGTCAGTTTTAGTAATGGGAAATGTATTTGCAAAAGCACTGCGAACACAAGTCTTAAATCAGACAAGCTGGACATGCTGCTGGAGTGCTGTCCACACTCTGTTTGCCAGACCCTGGAATATCAAGATTTTATGGTGTATTTTCTGACACGGATGACACTTAGCAGACTCTACCACTTCCTTAGAATCTGACCTACTAATCCACTTTTATCTCCAGGTTTGCTCTTGTTCTTTTAAGGTACCAAGTTCTCTACTGACAACAAGAAAGGAAGAGCCCCCAGTAAACATATTTGTGTGTTCATGGTTCTGATTCCTCAAAACTTAGTACAGAGGTCACCTCCTTGCTGTTTCTTATATTACTCAAAATAGATTTGTTACTGCAAGATAGCATCTTAACCCTGAAATCTCAGTGGCTTATGCCACAAAGGTTTACCTCTAGCTCCCACAATGTCCATGAGGTGACATAGTAGTAACTCCCTGGGGTGAATGCCAGTCTTCTCTCTCTGTTACCTAATCATCTTAACATGCCATGCCCAGATTCCCCTAAGAGGTTAATAAAGATTTGGAGGGTAATGTACTATCTGTTAACTGTTTTTGACAAGAACAACACCATTTCTGTCCATAGTACATTGTATAGAACTAGACACAAGGCTGTGACTTGCTGTAAGGAGCCTGCACCACTTCATCTTCATCAAATATCTGGAAGGAGCAAAAAATAAGGCAGTAACCACATACATTTCCACTATGCCCTGCCCTCTGTGTCTAGATTGGGAGTTTATAATGTGTCTCCACTTTGTCTTCATTTTCTAATAAAACATGTAATTGTTTATCATCTATTTCCCTTCATTAGACAAATGAGCTTCTTCAAGAAAACAATCGATATCATTATTCTGATTAAATTTCATAAACACACCAATAAACATAACATCACAGAAAGTCAGATATATGCCAGCTTAATGTTATTTGAGAAGTCTAATTATCAAGGTCTGGCAGCAACATCAAAAATATTTTTTGACATACAAAAGCAACCATTTATCAACAACAAATATTCACTGAATGTTTCCTATATGCCACTCAAAATTCCAGTTCCTGGGAAAACAGCAGCAGATAAAATAAATAAGTACCTTCCTAGGGAATAGCTTACATCCTAATATGGAAAAACAAGAAATAAATATCAGAAATAAGAAATATCAAAACAGGGCCCTCCCTGGTGGCGCAGCAGGTTAAAGCACTGCACTAAGAAGCTTAAGCCACTTCCGCATGAGTTCGATTCCCACCTGCCCCGGAGGAGATCCACATGGCCAGGCAGACCTCTCCTGACCCGCCCGCTGCTCCCCTCAGCAGTGTACTTTGATCATCTGCCTGTTCTGCTCCCCATTCTGTCTCTGGTGAATCCTCTCACTCTCCGCATCTCTAGCCTGTACCCCAGTTCTGTATGAATAAATAAATAATAATAAAAAAATATCAAAAACAAAAGTACCAGAAAAAACAACTCTAAAGTAGGTGATCAGCGAAGCCCTCTTAAAAAGTAATATTGACACACAAGTGGCAAGGAAAAATCTAAGGGAATTCTATTTTAAAAGAAGGAACAGCTATTTCAAAGCACAGAACAAACTTGGTGCATTCAAGAACATAGAATATATTTATGATGTATGCAAATTAGAAATACCCTTATCTGTTGTTATATGTGAAGTTACCTATATAAAGGATTGTACATAGAGTTCAAGATATCCTCTCTTTTACTGACTTCATCTCTAAATTGTATATGCATGCTACACATATATTATTTATCATACAACATATATACAATATATATGTATAGTGTGTGTGTGTATGCTAAAGGACAGCTTGCAATATATCTTCCTATTGACCACCAACCTTTATTAAGATCCTTACATGTGAAAGAAAAGCTGCTATCATTGCAAAATATTTTCTAAAAATCAGATTATCTTCACTTAAAAATTACAGTATAGCAGAGAAAAAAGCAAAAAGAAATGATTTTTAACAGCAATTTTTGACATGAGTAAGACACATCTCCAGATAGTATAATTACTATACTATGTGATACTTATTATCACATAAACTTCATATATTGTCTACAAAATCAAGCTTCTATCTGGTTGAGGGACAAAAAATACTGAACAGGTTTTTACTAAAGAATATGATTGGCAAGTTTGTGCCTTAAGAAAGATGTTCAGGGGCTATACAAACATTCATTTGTAGGGCACCCAAAAAAAAGACAGCTATTTTCCAGAGCAACTAAAAGTAAAAAGTCTTAAAGAATTCCTTTCAGACATATTACCTAAAACTGGTAATAGTGAGAGAGAAATCATTTTGGAAAATGATGTCATGGATGAGCAGAAAGAAAACAGCGGTTTCAAATTTGAAGTACAAATTATTCAACTCAAGGGCAATCAATTCAAATTTCACACATAGATTTTGAGCTAACATTGATTCTTATATACACAACGGAATATAGTATGATTCAAACAAGTGGTGGTAGATATTTAATTATTTAATAGTTGTTAAAGATTCTCCCAAGCTATGCAGACACAACACAAGATATTGTATAATAGAGGTCATGAATTGAAAGGTGGAAACCCTTGTATTAGTTTTGGTTTTCCCAGAAGCAAATTCTGAGTTGAGACACAGATTTGTGTGCAATTGGTTATTTAAAAGGAAACACGTTGGAGGGGGTAGGAAGTGAGACATGGAAGGGAAAACAGGCAGTAAAGGGCTAGTTGTCAATCAAATATCCACTCTAAATAGAAAGAACTTAATTACACTTGGGAAATTTGGCAGCCAGTCTACTCAGTACAGTGAAAAAAAGAAGGTTCATGCATTTGACCCATTCGTTTCAGCATTAGTACAGGGTTACACTCAGATATCAGTGTTGTAGCATCTGCTAACCAGCAAAGCTCTGGTGACAGGAAAAATCTCCCAAAGTAAGGAATACTTGCTGGTAATTGGAAAAATGCTCAGCGTATACTAATCATCATGATCCGGGAAATCCAATAGCAAAGGGAGTTGAACTGGGCTTTGAGAAGTAGGTAGAATTTGTTTAATGAAAAAATTTAACTCGGAAAAGTGGCGTGAGCAAATTTATTGATATGAAAAAGCACAGAAAGTATCCTTTGTTAGTTATAAATCAGGTTTCTTTGAATGGAGAAACTGTTATAGGATATTCTTAGGAAAATAGGGCTTAAAAAATGTATGGTCTATCTTGAGAAGGGTAAGTAATGTTAAAGAACTTTAACTTTTTCTTATACGTATTAAGAAACCTTTAAAGTAAAATGGGAAAGTAATGAAATGAAGCATTACTCCATGGTTTTGATATTTATATTGGCACCACTACTGTCCTTAAAATGCCAGTTCCGGGCCCTCCCTGGTGGCGCAGCGGGTTAAAGCACAGCACTAAAAGCCACTTCCACATGGGTTCGGTCCCCGCCTGCCCCGGAGGAGATCCACATGGCGAGGCAGACCTCTCCTGACCCGCCCGCTGCTCCCCTCAGCAGTGTACTGCATCGATCTGCCTGTTCTGCTCCCCACTGTCTCTGGTGAATCCTCTCACCCTCCGCATCTCTGGCCTGTACCCCAGTTCTGTATAAATAAATAAATCTTTTAAAAAAAAAATGCCAGTTCCTATTAGATAAGATCTGTATTTGTTCAGTTTTCCAAGACGAGTATTATAAGCACAGGAGTCTAGTAACCCATTGACAATGAATGTGCTACTTAACTATTTCTTACTAAAAACAATGAAGACGAACTCCAGGTCTTCGCAGAATATTTTTAAGATGTATCTAAAATATTTTGCCATGTCTTGAAGGACGTGAACTATCAAACATTACAGTGGCCTAGTCAAAAGAACTTGGGCCCTCCCTGTTGGCGGAGCAGGTTAAAGCACAACAAGAAGTTAAAGCCACTTCAGCATGAGATCGATCCTTGCCCCGGAAATGATCCACACTGCCCGGCAGACCTCTTCTAACCCGCCTGCTGCTCCCCTCAGCAGTGTATGTCCTCAGTCAGCCTGTTCTGTCCCCTGCTCTGTCTCTGGTGAATCCTCTCACAGCACCTGACCTGTATCCCAGTTCTGTATGCATAAATAAATCTTAAAAAAAGAAAAAAAGAGTGCAGGTAATTAAGTAACACAAAACAACAATATCAATGGCGTGGCTATGAGCGCTGGACTTCACAGTGCCCTAAGTGTTTGGCATGTATTATCCTCTTTAAGTCTCATCACAACCCAAGGAGGTGTAGGAGGCACTTGATATATGTTTCAAACGACTATTAAATGAGAAAAGCATCGCTGAGGAAATTGAGATTAAAGGCAAGCAACTTGTCTAAGGTCATCTACCGGAGTGATCTGGTTCAACCAATGTTCCAGATTTAAAGTAAAAGAATGCTCTGAACACTGCATCACACAGGACTTTATCAGGGAGCGCGCTGCTGGGGCAAGTGCGAAATACTGGAAAACTTAACAGGCTTCCACAGACCTAGAGTTCTCCACCTCCCTTCCCACATTTTACACATCTCCCACGGGAACAGAAAACTAGTCCTTCACCCACCGCAACGGACACTTGTCCTCTCGTCGCAGTCAGGTCCTTTATCCAGGGTTACCGAACGCCGTCACCCCAAGCCTCGCCCCTTGGCGGGTCGCACACAGCCCCAGCCTTTCAAACTACATTTCCCATAAAGCCGTGAGCGGACCCCGCCCCCTTCCGGAAGTCGGGGAGGCTCCATCCGGCGCGGGCAAGTGTTGAGAGTGAGGTTGTCTGAGTTCCTCGACTACTCCTGGGTTCCTCTACTCTGGTCACCATTCGGTTAGTAGCAGCAGCGGCGAGTTAGTCGCCTGAGTGCCCTCTCTGGTGATAGTGACCAGTCTTCCGTGTGGTCTGCAAGTTGACCGTATGGCCCTGGTGGCCGGTGTGACGCAGTTTTGCGCGGGTGCTTACCGGGACCAGGGCCCGGCCGGCTGAGCTCTGGCGGGGGAGATAGCGGCAGCGGCTGCTGCTGGTGCTGCCAGCCCAGTCTTTGGGTGGGAAAAAGGAAGTTCTATCTCACTTGTGACTTCAGGTTAAAAGGAGGACCTACACAGTCATTGCGAGAAAACAAACCATCTCGGCGCATTTGGCCGCTTGCACACCATGCGTGGGTAGTACTTGATTGGTTAAAAAAGTATGTCAGGTGCCCTTGGAAATGGAATTGGTAGTTATGGCCCGTGACCATTGACAGCTATTTTTGAAGACTGATTATCTCTCTGGAGCCATGTGACCTTGGGCAAGTCATGCCCCCACATTACATAGCAGTGAAATTGGGTGTAGGTTTGAATAATATTTAAGACTCTTTAAACTAAAACCTGTGTGGCCTCACAGAACAGTCTATATTCTTGGAAAGCAAGGGCAGCAGTTAGTTAACTAAATCACCTTAATCCTGCCTTCAAATCCTTACTTTCTAGAGCAGCTGTCAATGAAAAATGAAAAAGTAAACTGAGCAATAGAGCTGGATTTCAGCTTTGTGTACTCTGGAATGAGTAGTGGTTCTGTTTGTAGATGGGTTTTCTGTTGAGAAAGCAAAGGGAGAAAGTGCATTTTCCACATCTTTCTCTTGATAATTCCATATGTGTAAGCATAGTGAATGGTACTGTATTTTTGAGGACACTTGAAACCATAGCAATATCTTGTGAGGAGGCTGAGGAAATAACGAAAACTTAAACTTTAGAACCTGTGTGGTAGGATTTTGGGGAAATAAGGTGATGAGGAGGAAGGCCTTAACATTAGTGAGTTTACTACAGTACCTCAAAATGAAGTATTACAAAGTTGTAACTTTTGTTAGTTACCATATTTTCAGATCACCTAGATATCTCACTATGAAGAGAATGGGAAGGCAAGTTGTAATTTTTTTTAACAACAACAACAAAATGTTTTTCCTGATAAAGAAGGCATTCCTAATTTAAATTGTAAAGATTTTCAATCTTTGGATTTCCCCAAGTGTTTCCACTCCTGTGAGTGCTTTTGACCTATTTATAAGTAACAGAAATAAATAAAACGTAAAGTGAAATATAATCAGAAAGTTAATCTCTCTAACCCATTTTTTCCTTAAATTTTGCTCATACTGTTCCTAGCAGAGACATAATCAGCTAATTTTCAGTGTCAGAACCCTTCTTTTTAGCTTAAATATCTTACTGCTTCAAATGGTGGGACCCTAATTACTAGAGTCCCTAACTTTTTCTTAATAACGTTTAAAAAAAAAAAGTCATACCTTAGAAAAAGTGCTTTGAGAAGTTCCTAGAGAACTAAAACATTGCCACATTTTGTGCCCAACCAAATTCACTTCAGGATCCTGCAACATGTACAAATAAGTATGGAATAATTTTCTGTATTTTTTTTTCTTAGTGAAACAGCTTATCAAAACAAAGTTAATGGTTGATAAAACTTCTATATTTAAGAACAGACAAAGTGATCAATAGAATAGTATCTGATGATAGATCCAAAATAAATGGTTGTCTGATTTATGACAAAGCGCCCTGGGATAACATGGTAATTTCAAGTATGCTATGAATTTTATGAATTATCTGTTAGGGTAAAAATATATCTTGTTTAAACTGAATCAAGACTTTTAGACTAAGTCTTAGCAATAAAGTATATTTACTTTTTTTACTGTATTTTTTAATGGAGATAATTGGTTTATAGCACTGCATATGATTCTAATGTATGCTATCATACCATACCCACCACCAATGCGCCCATAATTATCCACCATAGTCTACTGGGTCCCTCTCCTCTTTACTACCTACCCGCTGGGAGCCACAATTCTATAGTCAGATTTCTAGGGTTTGTTTTGGCTTAGTTTTTGTCTGTTCCTTTGTTTTGTTCCTCTGTATTCCACATATGAGAGAGATCATAAAAATTTATCTTGACCCCCTACCTCACACCATGGACAAAAATCAACCCCAGATGCATTGCTGAAATAGTTGTACAGGGTAAAGCAATAAATCATTTTCATTTGAAACCTGGGCAGTTTCTAAATAATTATAGGATCGTAATTTCCCTGAGGTCAGGGACCTGTTTTATAACTGTAGAATAAAAATTTTGACATCTGCTAAATATCTCTACCTTTACTCTGACTGTAACCACTCTTGCATTTCTGGTACACTTTAAAGTCCCTCTGGACTGTCTCAAATAACTAATATCTGTTACTTGACATCCTTCCCAAGGCTTTGAACCCCTTCTCTCTACTACCATTAACTTTGTACAGAACTCCATGTTGACTTACATTTAAAATTCTCAACTATAACAATCTTAAGTGTATATTATGCTGAGAGTTAATTATTAATTATCTTTTAAAGACTTGCTTTAGAAACCATAACTACTCTAATTATGTCAGTACTCAGGTATGTTCAGTCATTAATACAAAAATCAATTGCAAATGAGATTTTTTTTTCCATTTCTCTTTTTAAAGGACAGAATGTCTTCTATAAAAGGTCTAAATCCAGAAATAATAACTCAACTTCATGATTCAGCTGCAGAAGGAGATATTGCCAGGTTAACAGTAATCCTCACTCATTCACCATCTCTTCTCAATGTAACTTCTAAAAATGGCTGGACTGCTTTAATGTTTGCTGCAAGGAACGGACATCCAGATGTTGTCCAATTTCTGCTTGAGAAAGGGTAATCATTTTACTTTGTACAACCTGAAGGGGTAGGTGGTTTAGTTTCTGGATTACATATTTCACTTTAAATTTTTCTTGTAGCCATGTTTTATGTCATTGGACTTGTAAGGAACTCACTGATCAGTTTTGTTACAGAAAAATGTAGTGTAATTTAACTAAAATATTTTTATCTTATTTTCATTAAGGAATTAATTATTCCTACTTGTTATTAAAGCAAATTTGTGTGTTAGTCTAATTTTCATCCCAAAGAGAAAAATTAAACCTATCTGTCCATGATGACTACCAAAAATCACTTGTAAAGTGCAACAGGACACTGACTGCTTTTTTCTTTTAAAAGTAATTTTCTAGAAATTTTAATTCCCACTATCTACCTATCATCATTTATA